ACATCGCCGAAGCGAGCGAAACCGCACAATCACGGAGGCGGCACGCGGGTTGCTCATTGAAGCCAGGCTACCCGACTATTTCTGGCCTGATGCGGTGCGGAGCGCGCTGTGTGGCCAAGAACAGAGCCTTGACTCATGTGGGAGCAGACAAATGGGTGCCCTATGTGGAGTGGCTAGGAAGGAAGCCAAAGGTGGATATGCTTTCGGGTGTTCGGGTGCATGTGCATGGCGCTCGTGCCTAAGCATCTTCGGCACAACAAGCTTGGTGCCAAGGCGGTGTGGGCCGTGCATTGGGCATGGCTCAAAACAGCAAGGGATGGCTTCTTTGGGACCCATTCACCAAGAAGTTCTTGGTGAGCAAGGACTGCAAGTTCATGGAGAACTTCATGTACAAGGATTGGAAGAATGAGGCGAAGATAGGCGTGCGGTTTCGGGAGGTGAAGAGTTCCAGTTTGGAGCATGTGGAGCTGCCTTTGGAGCTGAGCAATGGCAGCACAACCACAAGGCAATGTTTCCTTGTGAATGGGGGAGAGGAGGCCTATGATGCAGAGGAAGAAGAGGAAGAGGTGCAGCAAGTGAGCGAGCGTGCACCGACACTTCCTTCCGCACTAAGAGTGCTCCACGGATTCGAGCCACACCGCAGCATCGCCAAGGCCTTCAAGTCCCTGCAGCTGAGGAGGAAGGAAGGGGGAAGAGGAGAGTTCAACCCCCTAATAGCTGACCTATGATGCGCCGGGAAAGCAGGGCAAGACAGCCCTGGCCGGAGCAGCAATGATGGTCGGAGACGACGAGGAGAGTGACTACGAGGAGTGTGCCTTCGCGTTCTTCTCTCCGGTGGAGATGCCGGGAGAACCAGCAACTCTCAAGGAGGCTTTGGAGAGTAGTGATGCTGAGGAGTGGAAGAAGGCCATGGAGAGTGAGCTGAAGAGCATCGAGGAGAACGACACGTTTCAATTGGTGGAGCTGCCGGGGGGCGTACGGCGATAACGTCCAAGTGGCTCTTCAAAATCAAGTCGGATGCCGACGGCAAGATCGAGCGCTACAAGTCTAGGCTTGTAGCCAAGGGGTACCAGCAAAAGGAGAAGGTGGACTTCAAGGAGCTGTTTGCCCCTGTGTTGAAGCCAACGACGCTGCGAAACCTATTCGCGAGAGCCGCCTGTCAGAATGTTATCTTATGCTCTAGCCTGTAGTGGTGTGCTCTATAGCAAGTACAACCTTCTAGGGTTTGCTATTTGTATCACCATTCTTGCTAGTGCAATCCTCTTCTTTCTTCTAAACTTTCACATGCTATCAGAGCAGGTCGATCCCCTTGGATCGATCCTGTGGGTGGGCTCACCACCTCGTTGCTTCCGCTGCAACTCCTACTACTACTGCTATCACTACTCTCTGTGCCGCACGCCCCGTGGCGTGCGGCATTTTTCATCCCGCCGTGCGCCCCGAGGCGCGCGGCGGTTTTCTGCCCGCCATGCGCCCCGAGGCGCGCGGCGGTTCTCTTCCCGCCGTGCGCCCCGAGGCGCGCGGCGGGTTACTGCCCCGTCACGCCGCGCGCCGCTCCCGGGAGGCGCTGCGACAGGCGACGGGGACCTCCGCGTCGCCCCCCGTCGCTTGTCGTGGCCTGCGCGCGGCACGTACGGGCCGCGCCAGACCCGTACGGGCCGCGCCAGGCCTACGCGCGACCCGTACGGGCGGCGCCAGGCCCGCGCGCGGCTCGGGCCGCCTGCCCGCGCGGCTCGGGCGACCCTTCCTGCGGCCCTGGCCCCGGCCCCGCCGCCCTACCTGCGGCCCCGTCGTCCCGACGCCCTACCTGCGCCCCGGCCCCATCGCCCTACCTGCGCCCCGGCCCCGCCCCGCCTGCGGCCCCTTTTCCCGTCGCCCGTCGCGGCTCCCTCGGGGACTTACCTGGGGGAGGGGGGCAAGCCCCGCCCCTTCTGCTGCCTGTCTTGGCGCCCTGGGAGGCCGCGCGTCGGTCCCCCACCCCCCCCCCTCCCCCGTAACCTCCCTACCCACCATCCCGCCCTGCCTGTGTTAGGGTTTGGGGAGTGGCGAGTAGGGGGTGGCGAGTATGGGGGTGGCACTTCTGCATTCCTCCCTTTGCTCCTCCTCCTCCTTTGTCTCCCCTGCTGCATCTGTCGCTGAGGGGGGTGGATTTGTGGGAGACTGGGGTTTAGGGTTTAAGGGGGGTGCGTGGGAGTGGAGCTAGCGGTGTAGCAGCTGGTGTGTGCCAGGGGGAGTGGGATAGTTTGGGGGAAGCTGTATGGAGGTTGCCGTCGTGTCGCCAGCAGCACCTGTATTCCGGGGACTTCGTCCGGTAGCCCAGTCGTAGCCAGCTGTGCCAGCCGCCCGTGAGTCCGTTGCTCGTCTGCCGCTACTTTAGCCGTGGGGCCTGTTACTCCTGTACTCCTGTTACTCCTGTACTCCTGTAGTCCGGTAGCCGCTGTGCCAGTCTGCCTCCTGTTGCCCGTGTGTCTGCAGCTTCAGCCGTCGCCTCCTATCTCCTCTCCTCTCACTCTCTCTCCTCCTCCTCGCTTGCCCGATGTGACTACCACTAGCTTTGCTCATAATTGTACCCTTTAAACTATTGCATCTTGAACTTGTGCTCAGAATGTGTGGTGATATTGTGATCCACATTGAGCTTGTACTGCTTTGCTTGCTCTGCTGATTACACCCCACTTTGGCTATGGGGGTGTGTCAGAATGTTATCTTATGCTCTAGCCTGTAGTGGGGTGCTCTATAGCGAGTACAACCCTTCTAGGGTTTGCTATTTGTATCACCATTCTTGCTAGTGCAATCCTCTTCTTTCTTCTAAACTTTAACACCGCCATCAAAGGATGGGTAGTAAAACAAATGGACATCGTAACGGCATTCCTTAACGGCATCCTTGAGGAGAAGATTTTTATGGCGCAGCCAGGGGGTTTGATGATGGTAGTGGCAGAGTGTGGAAGCTGAAGAAGGCCCTCTATGGGCTGAAGCAGGCCCCTAGGCAATGGTACATGAAGCTGCGCGAAGTGTTGGAGGAGATCGGCTTCACTCCCTCAACGAACGATCACTCCTTGTTCATGCTTGGCGAGGGGGAGCAGAGGAGCTTCATGGTGGTTTATGTGGATGACATTCTCATATTCTCACATTCCTCTGACCTTATGAAGGAGGTGATGCTGAAGCTGCAAGACAAGTTCAAGTGGCAAGTCCCTTGGTGACGTGAACTTCTACCTTGGGCTCCACATCGAACGAGACGTGGAGAAGCGGAGCATGCGAGTGCCACCACAGAAGTACCTGGAGGCATTGGCTGCCAACTTTGGCCAGAATGAAGGTCATGTGGCTACCCCTTTCCCTCTGGGTTCAAGTGTGTTAAGGGGCAGAGGAGGAGAGTGTTGGAGAAGAGGATGAGGCGCCCATTTTCCACTCGTTGGTGGGCACGCCTCATTGTATGCGGCGGTTTAAATACCCGACAAGACGTCGCGTTTGCTACCGGGCAGCTGGCTAGGGTTGTGCAATGCCCTAATGAGAAGCAGGTAGCAGCTGGAATGAGGGTGGCCAAGTATCTTTGCCAAACACCTGACCGTTGGGCTGCAATACTCGGCGGCGGCACCAAGGCGCCAAAAGGGCGCGGATGGTGTTGAACCCGGGCGTTTGTTCCTCACCGCCTACTCGGATGCTTCATATGCATGGGAAGGAGAGGACATGACAAGTGTTGGGAGGCTTCATATGCTGTGTTGGTGGAGGCCCCAACTGCTTGGGAGAGCAAGAAGCAGGTTGACCAAGCTTTGAGCTCGGTGGAGTCCGAGTACATGGCACTCTTCCGTTCGGTACGGGAGATTGTGTTGGCAGCGGCGTTTGTTGGCTGAATTGGGGGAGGAGCAGCAAGGACCTACCCCACTGTACTGTGACAGCCAGGGTGGAATTGCTCTGGCTAAGAACCCTGTGTTGCATGGACTCACGAAGCACATGAGGGTGAAGTGGCATTGGACGAGGAGCATGGTAACCGCGGGTGAAGTTGAGTTGCGCTACGTGAAGACCACGGGGCAGCCAGGCTGACATGATGACCAAGAGGCTAGTGGAGCAGCAGCATTGGAAGTGTTGCAAGCTGGCTGGGATGGCTCTGAACTAAGAGAGCAAGATCCTAAGGCCAACAATCCGAGGGGGAGTTTGTTGGTGCAACCTTACGGTTTGCACTCGGCATGTTTTTCCGTGTGCGTGCATGCGTGTGTGCATGGAATGGAATGAGTGCATGAAATAAATAGATATTTCATGCTTATAATGTTGTGTGAATGATGGGTCATGATGTCGAGTGTGTGTGTCAAGTCAATAGCGAATTATCGCTAGTCGTGTGTAACGTGGTCATTTTGTGGTGTCCCGCGCGGTTTTTTATTTTGTCGTGCGCGGTTTCCATTCTTGTCGCTTATCGAAACGTTCGGCGTGTCGCAGGTGTGTGCAGCAGACCCATCAACGACTCAAGGATGAGTTTGTGATGAAGAACCCGAGGCCCTGGTGTCAACATTCAAGTAATCGCGAAGCCCGTGAAAATGGGTACACCTCAAGATATTGAAGATAGTTACATTCCTTTGTGTAGTGTAACATTTCACTTGGTGTAGGCCCTAGTGAAGGGTAGTTTCGAGACCCTTCGTGGTTGGGGACCAATGTGGCAGTGTTCGACATCACTGTACCTCGGCTCTTGGGGCTTGTCAGGAGCTGGGAGTCATTCCCAACTCGTAACTCTCCCTAACTCTTCCTATCTTGTGTTTTTAAGACTATAGTGGCTGCCATAGTGCCGTTCGTTTCAAACCAACGCTGTGTAGTCAATACTTGGTCAAATCGTGCGATCTAATTTGCCTAGTGTAGGCGACAATAAGACGCTCCAGCTCCCAAGTTGAATCAATTCATTTGAAGCTGTGACCAGAACGCTATGAACATTTGAAGCCGCTGTGCAGAAATCCGACTGTGCACTTTATCTTTCGTTTTAGGCACATTGGAGCCTACTGTGACTATAATAGCAGGGAGGCGGGTTAGAGGTAGAGGTGGACGAACGTGGTTGCTTGGTGAATTGGGCAGGCGGAGGGAGGCGGGTTAGAGGTAGAGGTGGACGAACGTGGTTGCTTGGTGAATTGGGAGGCGGAGGGAGGCGGGTTAGAGGTAGAGGTGGACGAACGTGGTTGCTTGGTGAATTGGGAGGCGGAGGGAGGCGGGTTAGAGGTAGAGGTGGACGAACGTGGTTGCTTGGTGAATTGGGAGGCGGAGGGAGGCGGGTTAGAGGTAGAGGTGGACGAACGTGGTTGCTTGGTGAATTGGGAGGCGGAGGGAGGCGGGTTAGAGGTAGAGGTGGACGAACGTGGTTGCTTGGTGAATTGGGAGGCGGAGGGAGGCGGGTTAGAGGTAGAGGTGGACGAACGTGGTTGCTTGGTGAATTGGGAGGCGAGGGAGGTGAGTATGAGGGGGGTTAACCAAGGGGTGGAGGGAGGTGCTTGGGGGATAGCTAAGTGCGGAGAGAGGTAGGTGGGGGGAATGTGGGGGTAAATCAGGAGATGGAAAGAGGTAAGTGGGGTGAGGTAGACAAGGGAGCAAGTCGGGGGTAGAGAACAAAGTAAGTAGTAGGGGGATGAGGGAGAAAAATTAGGGATGGAGGAAGGTTTGTGGGCAGAAAGTGGAGGGAAGGTATATAGGAAATGAAGGGGAGAGGGTACGGAAGGAAGGAGGAGAAGGATTAAGGAGGGGATGGGGGAGGGAAGGAAGGAGGGAGATAGGTAGAGCGGAAGACTAGATTGGGAAGGAGGAAGGCGGTAATTGGGGGGAAGAAGGGCGGGCGTGGGAGCAAGTGAGGCATTGGGACAGGAAGCCGAAAGGCGAGGCGACGGTGAGCGATAAGGGCGACGGGGAAGGCGATCATGGGAGGGGCAGCTGAGGGCGACGAGGAGGCGTCGGATGGGGAAGCTAGGAAACAGCAGGGGGAAGCGAGGGAAACAGTAGGGGAAGCGAGGGAAACGCAGGGGGGAGCGAGGGAAACAGCAGGGGGGAGCGAGGAAAACAGCAGGGGGGAGCGAGGGCGGTGGGGAGCGGCGACTGGCAGGGGAAGCTAGGAGGATGGGCAAGGCGATGGGCATGAGAAGCTGAGGGCGACGGGGGAAGCGAAGCGAGGTGAAGGCGACGGGATGAGAAGTGAGGGTGACGGCTGGGGGATGCAGTGAGGCGACGAGGAAGGCAATGGGAGGGAGACTAGGGGCGACCGGCAAGGGAAAGTAGGGCGACCGGCAAGGGAAAGTAGGGCGACCGGCAAGGGAAGCTAGGCGAAGGGCAAGGGAAGTAGGGCGACCGGCAAGGGAAAGTAGGGCGACTGCAGGACGAAGTGTCGAACTTATATGCTATAGTCTGTTTAGGCTGTTAGTGGGGTATTCAATATGGGGTACAACACTGAAGGGTTTCCTACTTGTACTCCTCATTGCTGCTCAATGCAATCATTCCTTCCTCAGATTCTCACATGGTAAGAGACAGGTTCCCTAGTGGAACGCTTCCTAAGGGCCCACCACTAAAAAATTTTATTGCCCGGAGCGCGCTTCTCTCCTGCCCGAGTCGCGCCCCGTGTGCCCTCCCTCCCGTCGCGTCCCTAGCCCTTAGCGGCCCGTCGCGCCCTCCTCAGGCCCTAGCGGCCCCTTCGCGGGCCTCTCGCGGCCCCTCTCACGGCCCAGTTGCCGACCCTAGCGGCCCCGTAGCCCACCCTAGCGGCCCCGTCGCCACCCTGCCGGCCCCGTCGCCGACCGTAGCGGCCCCGTAGCCGCTCCAAGCGGCCCCGTCGCCGCCCTATCGGCCCCGTCGCCAACCCTTACGGCCCCGTCGCCGCCCTAAGCGGCCCCGTCGCCGCCCTATCGGCCCCGTCGCCGACCCTTGCGGCCCCGTCGCCGCCCTACGCGGCCCCGTCGCCGCCCCTATCGGCCCCGACGCGACCCTTGCGGCCCCGTCGCCGCCCTGCCGGACCCGTCGCCACCCTAAGCGGCCCCGTCGCCGCCCTGCCGGCCCCGTCGCCACCCTAAGCGGGCCCGGTCGCTGACCCTACCGGCCCCGTCGCCGACACCTACCGGCCCCGTCGCCGCCCCTAAGCGGCCCCCGTCGCCGACCCTACCGGCCCCGTCGCCGCCCGACCGGCCCCGTCGCCGACCCTAGCCGCGCCGGCTCGCCGCCCTCAGCGGGCCCCGTCGCCGCCCTTTCACGGCCCCGTCGCCGTCTCTACCGGCCCCTTCAACGCCGACAGCAGCCCTAGCAGCCGAGGCGCCCGACAGCCGAGCCGCCGAGCCGCCCAACAACTGGGCCGCCGAGCCGCCGAGCAGCCGAGCCGCCGAACCGCCGCGCCGCCCCAGCAGCCGAGCTGCCGAGCCGCCCAGCCGCCCAGTCACCCAGCAGCCGAACCGCCGAGCCGCCGAGCCGCCCAGCCACCCTGCAGCCGAGCCGCCGAGCCGCCGCGCCGCCCAGCAGCCGCGCCGCCGAGCCGCCCAGCAGCCGAGCCGCCGAGCAGCCCTTCCTTCCGGCGCGCCCCGGCCCTACTTCCTTGGACTGGTGAGCTCACTCCCTGATAGACCACTGCAGTCATGGCTACCCCCAGTGTCCTTACCTTTGATACTGAGGGTCGTGCTGTTGACTTTGAGGTCTGGGTCGATGACCTCCAGCTGTTCTTACAGTGCGATAGGGCGGACGGACTCTCACTGTTCGATCTCACCTCTGGTGTCTCTCCTGCCCCGCCTGCTACTACTGACAGCACTGTTCGCTCACAGTGGGCCACGCGCGATGCTGCTGCACGTCTTGCTGTGCGTCGCCACTTATCGACCACTGAGCGTGCGCACTTAAGCCAGTACAAGAGTGCTAAGACCTTGTACGACGCTTGTAGTTGCACGCTACTCTTCCTCTGCCACTGCTGCGCTTAGCCGCCTCATGCTGCCGTACCTGTTCCCTGACCTTGCTGCCTTTCCCACAGTCGCTGACCTCATTACGCACCTTCGCACTAGTGACACTCGCTACCGCGCTGCGCTTACCCGCTGAGTTTTGTCCCAAGAAACCCCCCCCCCCCACATGTACATCACCCTCTACTACATAGTCACCCGGCTCCCTGACTCCTTTCGCATAGTCAGGGACCACTTCCTCTCATTTTGCCCCCACCACACTCACCGTTGACCTTCTCGAGGAGCGCCTTGTAGCAGCAGAGAAGAACATAGTCGCTGTAGGAGCCTCTCGTGGTGACCCTCGCACCCCCGTTTTTAAGGGGTGTTCTCCCTCCCCCATCTTGCCCTCTGTTGCTTCTACTGCTGCGGCCGGACCTCGTTGGCTTCGAGTCGGTCGGCGCTGCGTCTGTCCCTAGCGGGAAGCGCCGCACCTGCAAGGGCAAGGAGGGCAAGGGCGCAGGGGGGGCCAGTGGGGGCGGTGGAGATGGTGTGGAGGCAGTGGAGGGGGTGGGGGTGGTGGTGGGAGTGGTGGCGGGGGTGGAGGTGTCGATGGCAGCAGTGGAGGCGGAGGAGGCGGCGGTGGTGGCGGAGGGAGCAGAGGCGGCGGCGGTGGCGGAGGCGGCGGAGGTGGCGGAGGCGGCGGATGGTGGCAGTGGAGCTGGTCGTTGGCTCCGGTGTGGTCAGCGCCAGCAGCAGCAGCACGCTCGTGAGACCCTGTCCCCTCAGCAGCTTCGTGAGTGGTACGCTGGGCGTTAGCGGGGTGGGGGTACTGGTCCCTGCACCTACGTCCTCTGTACAGGCGACCGCGCTGGTGAGCAGTGCGGGGGCACGCACTCCACCCAGCGCTGCTTCGGCCGCCTGACGGACGCTTGGCGTCATCAGTTCCCTGACGCCATTGAGATCCCTCGCTGGGGAGAGCTGTCTAGGGCGGGGGGTAGCTATCTTTGATCTTGACTATGATGCTATTCTTGCTGCCATGTATGCTGTGTCTACTGTGATGAGGGTGACTGTTACCTGTATGTTCCGCCTGACCCGGGCATTGAGGCTGCTGCTCTAGGTGCTGGTGAGACTGCTGCTCCAGGTGCTAGTGCGTCTGCTGCCCCAGGTGCTGGTGAGTCTGCTCTCTCAGGTACCACGTCGGCTCAGGCCTTACACACCTTCACCCTTGACTCGGGTGCTTCCCGCTCCTTCTTTCGAGACCGCACCACGCTTACGCCGCTCAGTCGGCCGGTTGCGGTCTCCCTAGCGGACCCCTCTGGGGGTCCTGTCCTTGCTAGCTTCTCCACTGTCTTACCGTGTCCGGCAGCCCCCTCTGGCCCCCTGTTAGGTCTCTACCTCCCCTCGTTCTCTACGAACTTGGTGAGTGGAGCTGATCTACAGGATCGGGGGGTTGACCAGTTCACACCTGCGAGTCAGCGGGTGACCCACTGTACGTGTGCTCGGACGGGCCGACACTTGGCCACGTTTACCCGTCAGCCGGGGTCCAGCCTGGACACACTGACCACTGAGTCTCCTCCTGTTTACTGAGTATGGTCAGGTAGCTACGTCGAGTCAGGTGTTTGCTGTAGCGTCCAGGTCTGGTCCTGAGTCTGCCCCCTGCTCGTGTCGTCTCCTGTCCCACCAGACTCTCCTTTGGTACCACCGCCTTGGTCACCCCTCCCTGCCTCGTCTCCGAGGCATGGCCTCCCGTGTCCTTGTCTCTGGTCTCCCCCGGTCCCTCCCTCCCCTACCTTCGGGGCCGGTCCCTACCTGCGTTCCCTGCGTCGAGGGGCGGCAGCGCGCCGCTCCTCACTCCTCCGAGTTTCCTCCGACACAGGCTCCCCTGCAGACTCTTCACATGGACGTGTGGGGCCCCGCCCGCGTCCGTGGCCAGGGTCACGAGCGTTGCTTCCTGTTAGTGGTTGACGACTACTCTCGTTACACCACGGTGTTCCCCTTGCGCAGCAAGGGTGACGTCACTGAGGTGTTGATCGACTGGATCCGCGCAGCTCGTCTCCAGCTCAGAGAGAGGTTCGGCTCGGACTTTCCCGTTCTGCGTCTGCACTCTGACAGAGGCGGAGAGTTTTCCTCTGCCCGTCATGGAGCCTTCTGTCGTGCACAGGGCATCCGCCAGACCTTCACGCTTCCGGCCTCTCCACAGCAAAATGGGATTGCTGAGCGCCGCATTAGCATGGTCATGGACGTCGCTCGTACGTCCATGATCCATGCGGCTGCTCCCCATTTTCTGTGGCCGTTTGCGGTTCAGTACGCGGCACATCAGCTCAACCTTCAGCCCGGGTCTCCTTGCCAGAGACCTCCCCCACCTTGCGGTGGATGGGGAAGGGTTGGCGATGCGTCTGCATTTTGAGTCTGGGGATCTCGAGCGTTTGTCCGCAACTTGTCTGCGGACAAGCTGTCCCCTCGTGCTGTTCCCTGCGTCTTCCTTGGCTTCCTCCCTGACGCGCCTGGTTGGCGGTTCTACCACCCCCACCTCGCGCCGTGTTTTGTCCTCCCAAGACGTCACCTTTGACGAGTCGGTGCCTTACTACCGTTTCTTCCCCTACCGCACTGCGCCCCTCCCCCCGCCGCCGCTCTTCCTTGCGCCAGGTCCTCCCCCGGTAGACCCCCTCCCCCCTCAAGGTCCTGCCCCGTCAGGTGTGTCCCAGGTAGACGCAGTTGAGCCTGTCGAGGTAGCTGTTGACTCTGGTGCTGCTAGGGGCGCTATGCCTGCGGGTGCCGAGTCTGGGGGTGCGGAGCCTGGGGGTGCTGAGTCTCGGGATGCTGAGCCTGGGGGTGCTGAGTCTGGGGGTGCGGAGCCTGGGGGTGCGGAGCCTGGGGGTGCTGAGCCTGGGGGTGCGGAGCCTGGGGGTGCTGAGCCTGGGGGTGCGGAGCCTGGGGGTGCTGGGTCTACTCGTGTGGCCTCTAGCGGTGCTTCGTCGAGGCGGGAGCTACTCTCTCCGCAGAAGCTACGCGAGTGGTTTGCCCAGCGCTGGAGCCGTGCTGCTGGAGCTGAAGATACTACTGTTGCTACTGGTCCTGGAGGTGCTCGTCCTGGCGGTTCTAGAGCTGCTGGAACTGGGAGTCCTGCTCGAGGTGCTACTAGAGCTGGAGCTGCTGGAGGTGGTGGAGCTGGAGCTGGAGCTGCTGGGGGTGTTGGTGCTGGTGGTTCTGCTGGCGCTGGTGCTTCTGAGGGTGCT